GCGTGCGCGGGATTCATGCTTCAAACATGAACTGCTGAACAAACTCACCGGTTAGCAGGTTCCCCGAGAGGGAGAGGAACTGCAGTGCGGCGAGCTGTCCAAGCTCCGGCGGGATGGAACCTGCAATCGGAAGAGAGTGTAGCGGGAGAAAACAAACTGAAATGCCCCGGGTTTCGAGAACACACGCGTAGCAAAGATATCNTGCTTCAAACATGAACTGCTGAACAAACTCACCGGTTAGCTGGTTTAGCGAGAGGTCGAGGTAGTGCAGTGCGGCGAGCTCTCCAAGCTCCGGTGGGATGGAACCTGCAATCGGAAGAGAGTGTAGCGGGAGAAAACAAACTGAAATGCCCCGGGTTTCGAGAACACACGCGTAGCAAAGATATCCCGCGAGTTCCCAAATTGCGAAATTTCGTTTTGGCGTCGTCTTGAAAATCGAGAGGCGGGATAATATGTCTTGTTTGTTTGTCGCGCTTGGTTTGTATCGCCCTCTTGCTCGCAGGCCCCATCCCATCGGAGCTTGGGCAACTTTCAGCACTGAAGAAGCTCTTCCTTTACAATAACCAGCTGAGCGGTGAGTCAACATGTGATTTCATGACTGTTACACGACCGATTTTGCGGCGAGTCCCGTGTACGAATCTCGCTGATGCACGNTGAAATGCCCCGGGTTTCGAGAACACACGCGTAGCAAAGATATCCCGCGAGTTCCCAAATTGCGAAATTTCGTTTTGGCGTCGTCTTGAAAATCGAGAGGCGGGATAATATGTCTTGTTTGTTTGTCGCGCTTGGTTTGTATCGCCCTCTTGCTCGCAGGCCCCATCCCATCGGAGCTTGGGCAACTTTCAGCACTGAAGAAGCTCTTCCTTTACAATAACCAGCTGAGCGGTGAGTCAACATGTGATTTCATGACTGTTACACGACCGATTTTGCGGCGAGTCCCGTGTACGAATCTCGCTGATGCACGTGAGTGGACGCCAACGGAGTAGCTCAGCGGGACAAACGAAAACAACCCCCCGCTTTCTAGAACATTGGTCCCGTACAAAAGTTTCGTGGACGCCAACGCACACGCGTCCACGAAACTTCAGAACTAGCGGGATAACTTTTATGGCGCCAAGTACGTAGGCGGGACCGATGTTCTGGAAGTTCAGAAGTCGAAAGAACAAATGTTTTTTTTTATCTACTCAACTCACCCTCTAGCNAAGTCGCAAGAACAAATGTTTTTTTTTATCTACTCAACTCACCCTCTAGCTTGTTGTATCCGAGGTTGAGGGTCTCGAGGGCGCCAAGATCTCCTAGCTGCCGCGGGATGTGGCCTGTAGATGAACGAGTCAAAGCAGGGCAGTTTAACGGGATAAAAGCAAAAGATACCTCCCGCTTTCTAGAAGATCCGTCCCGCTTTCAAAAGAAAAATCCCCGCGCTTTCCGTACAACAGTTTCGTGGACGCCAACGTACGAAATTTCGCAATTTGGGAACTCGCGGGATATCTTTTCTACGCGTATGTTCTCGAAAGCCGGGGCATTTAAATTTGTTTTCTCCCGCTACACTCTCTTCCGATTGCAGGTTCCATCCCGCCGAAACTTGGAGAGCTCGCCGCGCTGCAGTTCCTCGACCTCTCGCACAACCAGCTAACCGGTGAGTTTGTTCAGCAGTTCATGTTTGAAGCATGAATCCCGCGCACGCCTACGCGTCCACGAAACTTGAGAACTCGCGGGATAACTTTTTTTGCACCCTGCCAAACTGCCCTGCGTTGAATCGTTCATCATCTGCAGGCCATATCCCGCCGCAGCTCGGACAGCTTGGCGCCCTCCAGCACCTCTCCCTCTCGCGCAACAAGCTAGATGGTGAGTTGAACAGATCGAAAAGAGTTTCGTTTGCTTGCGAGTTTTGCCTGCATGAACCCCGCGTACTGCGTGAATGGACGCCAACGCGTAGGCGTCCTCTTGAAAATCGAGAGGCGGGATAATATGTCTTGTTTGTTTTGTCGCGCTTGGTTTGTATCGCCCTCTTGCTCGCAGGCCCCATCCCGCGGGAGCTCGGGAACCTCGCAGCGCTGCACTACCTCTACCTTCGGAACAACGAGCTAAGCGGTGAGTTATGGAGCGCAACATGAATTCGCATGATAAATTTGCAAATTCGGAGAAGACAAAAGAAAAATCCCCGTGCTTTCCGTACAAAAGTTTCGTGGACGCGTAGGCCTACGCGTCCACGAAACTTCAGAACTAGCGGGATAACTTGTATGCCGCCAAGTACATATGCGGCGTTCATGCTCAATTTCATGCCTCACCGGATAGCTTGTTGTACCCTAGTGTGAGCTCCATCAGCGCTGTTAGCTTGCCCAGCTCCTGCGGGATAGGCCCTGCAAACAGACAAGAAAAACAAATACTCCAATATTTGGGGGGGGGGGACTGCCAACAAGTTTTATGTTCGATCTCCGTAGATCTATGGACGGGGACGCGTCCTACACGTTTCTGTTGAAGCCTGAATTTTCAAGTCTGTGCACTGCTGCCTCCCGCAGGTTCTATACCGAAGGAGTTGGGAGACCTTACGAAGCTGGAGCGGCTTGTTCTGCACAGCAACCGTCTTACAGGTGAAAAATGACGAAAGTACGATTTCGGTTTCTATTGGCTTCAGTAGGAACGCGCATGGACGCGTTGGCGTTGGCGTCCATCAACAGCGGGATTCAGGTGCAAATTTGTTCTGCATAAATCGCACGAGAAGAGATAGCCTTTTTGGTCCCCCCCGACTTACCGGTTAATCCGCCGCCAACAAGAAAAAAGCCACTGAGCTCAAGCTTCTGCAAGTTGCTCAGACTTCCTAGCTCAGGCGGGATCGGCCCTGTGTCGTTCATCATACGCGGGAGAGTTCCACAGTTCCTCAGCATACAGAATTCCACAGGTACATACGTTTCCACGCACTGCGTGAGTGGACACCGACGCGTACACAGGACTCATGATTTTTTTTGCAAGACCATCAGGAGAAATCAGATTGCGACATATATTGCCTCTTACGGATTAGCTTGTGTTCAAGGTCGAGCGTCTTCAGTGCTTCAAGCTTGCCCAGCTCCGCCGGGATGGTGCCTGCCAGATGAATATAAACAATAAGTTGGCGTGAGAAAACAAAATTTTCCCGCGGTGTCTAGAAAAGCGGTCCTGCCAACGCGCTGTCTACTGTGCGCCCCACATACCTCAGACCATTTGTCAGCTTGACTATACATATGTAGCATAACTGGTAACCGTATTGTCACGGGGGAGTGGTCTATTGTGACTATCTTCCCCCCGTGAGATCCAGATGCGATATGGTCTGCCGCTGCGTGGACAGCACCTACGGAGACCGTCTTGTTTTAGAAAAATAAGAACAGCGTTCAAGTTCGCTCGATTTGTTCTCACCTGTTAGATCATTGAACCCCAGGTCGAGCGTTTCCAGGGCACCAAGGTTCCCTATTTCAAGGGGAATGGCACCTGCAGCGCATGCAAAAGTAAACTTTAGAGAGTTCAAAACGTGGGTCCTGCGGCTCCTAGAACATGTACAGTAGTATCGATCAACGGACATCGATGCTTGACAATAAAATACTTGTGTGCCTCACGATCCACCTACGAACTATATTGCGTGCACTTGCCCGGAAATCACAATTATTTCTCGTGCAGTTTGTGTAGCCGAATTAAATTTTGCTCTGGTTTTCTGATACGATGGTTGGGAGTGATGGCACACACGTGAAATTTGGCTGAAGTTTGCCCGCGTGCAGGCAAGAAGACCAAAGTATGAATTGATTGCAAATCTATCTTAGACTCTCTTTTCTTAGATAGAGGTGGATTCGTTGGGTCATATTCAGACCCAAAAAGAACAAGGTAGAGGGACAGAAGAACAAAACAAACGAAGAGGCCACATCACCAGCATCAGCCCTCCAGTAAACACAACAACAGGGCTGATGATGCACAGCATCGCAATCGGTCTGGTTTTGCACCTTGCTTTTACTCCTGCTATCGCTCTGTGTGTGTCTCTGTGGGTCTGCTTGTCGGTCTCAGTGTGACTCTATCTCTGTGTTTCTCTCTGGCCTCTGATTCTTGTGACACCATATGCATAGGTTCGTTGAGTGGCGGGCGGGGAGGAACAAAAAGCGCGACCGTGAAAAAAGAAAACAGCGGGCCTTTCTTTGTGTTATACATGTATGTATATTCAGAAACGCAAGATTTCCTCGGATCGTATAAGCATCCACTGGTGTGGTGCTAGGGTGCGTAACTTGTCTTAACATGGTGGGTTGGAAGCCGTGGATGTCCTGGTGTTTTTTCTCTCCCCGAGACAAAATCGTGGCGGCAGCAATCGTTATCACGCTGTGAGACGGACGCTCCACTTGGCGTTCGAAAACCCCCATCAACCCTAATTTATGTAACAGCACTATTATCCATTTTACGTTTAAAGATTCATTCGAAAAGTAATCATCAATTTCTCTCGGGCTCTCACGGCGCTGCTTTCGGCCTCTCTGGACGGCTCACGGGCCTGCATTTCTCCAATCTTCATTTTCCCGTTTTCCCGATTTCCTGCTTTTTCCCGTGAATTCGCCGCTCTTTTCCGCTTTTTTTTATCTCTGTCAAGATTCCACCCTTCCTTCCCTTCGCACGCCTCTCACACGGGGCCTTCATCTTCCTCTCTGGGCTGTCACACATACATCCATTCTTCACACATCCAGTCTGCGTTGCTTGTTGTTCTCCGCTGCTGTATGTATACTCCGTTCAACATCCACAACTTTTCGTTGCTGTTCAGTTCCGAAACTTGACTACCTGTCAGTCTCGTTCTTCTGCACGGACGGGTTAAATCGGGAATGCCCATCCCTTTCATCTACTGCTGCTCTCATCCATCCACACATTTTAACACCAGTCTCTCTGTCTCCCCTCACACACAATCATCAGTCTGTCTCTCCCCTCTCGCATGGACCAGCACCATCTGTCCTGGGTCTTTGGGCGCCTCATGTTCCTTTCATTCCATTTCTTCTCTTCGTAACTCGAAACGCTTCCCTTCTGAATTTCCCGGGCGAGGGGCGGGGTTTCTTCTCAGTTCCGACAGCAGTTGACATGGTGTCGGTCAGCTGCTCCACTGTTTGAGACGTCGATGGACCCGTTGTGCACGGGTTATCCACTACGGGTTGAAACACAGGCAAGATGCATCGTGGTGTGGCGCCCTCTCAGCTCCTCCCTCTCGTGTCCCATATGATAACTGCGCAACGATAATCTGTCTCGTTGGAGTTTAACTCCCGTTCGGAACGACTCTCTTCGAAATTTCTCTGGCGAGGGACGGGTTTCCTTCGGAAATATACATGAACAGCAGTTCTGAGCGGGGCGGCGAAAGCCGCCTGAGTAGGCCCTCGCTTTCTTTCTGCAAGAAACCCTTTTTTTTTTCGTGTATCTTGGAATCGATCTACTGGGCGGGGCGGCGAAAGCCGCCAGAGTTCGCCTTCTCTCTGTGCACAAAGTAAGCCGTCTTTTCATTTATTTTCACTATATTGCTACCGCTGGCTATTCGCGTATCTTGGAATCGATCTACTGAGCGAGGCGGCGAAAGCCACTGGAGGCCTCGGCGGTGCTGCTGTGCTCATTTACTGTTTCCGTGTTTGTCGTGTGTGGTAGAAAAAAATCCCCGCCCGTCAACAGCGGCAGTTGAAGACGACNAGCAGCACGGCGGCGGGAGTGAGGATCATATAGACAGCCGAACCGAAGGAGTCAGCGCGTTGGAGGCCTCGGCGGTGCTGCTGTGCTCATTTACTGTTTCCGTGTTTGTCGTGTGTGGTAGAAAAAAATCCCCGCCCGTCAACAGCGGCAGTTGAAGACGACAGCACCATGCAGTGACTCGGCTTGGACAAACAACGACCTGAACGCGGCTTCTGCCGCTTCTCTATCTATGCAACAGGCCTGGACATAAGTCTGGCAGTCTTGCTAGCGCTCTAAGTGGNTTTCACGGAAACATGAAAAAAACCGTCGACATGCCTCCCTGCATTTTTTGACAGGACCGATTCGGAACCTTTTCCGGGACTTTGATTTCTGATAGGAATGAGCGTCAGCCTCATCAGCATCCGTGTACCGTGTTTTTGGTGTACCTGCCTCTTTTATCGTCATCGCCGCAGCTGAGTTCTCTGAGCTCAACAGCGCCTCGACAACGCCACGACGACGAGGTTCGCGGCCCTCCCTGCGCACACCCTAGCCCTCACCAGCACGCCGAGCGTTTCACCGCACGCAGCGCAGCGAAAAAGTACAAATCCCGAGGCCCCCCTCTTGGGTCACCCCTTGCATTTTTTCGCCACGGCGTTCTCCGCAACCGAGCAAGATACAGCCCGATGCTGGCGGGGCTCATGCACCAGGACAAAGTAGGCGTGCTACGCAAGTCTCGGTAAGGACGGTGGCGAGGCAAGCGAACAAGGCAACGAACACCGTTTCGGCTGGTTTTCGTGTTAAATTGCGCCGCCCACAGTACGGCACACGATATTTTTGCC